TGGGCCACAAAGCCTGACCTTTGTTTTTCCACTTTCCCAGGCCCTGGGTCTGGGCTTTGAAATCGACGCTCACTTGACAGGGCCTGGTCTCTGGGTGAGCTGGAGAAGGGGAGGGTTCCGGGGCGTGAGGGGTGAGAGGCAGCTGTTTGGTCTTAGAAGCCCAAGATTGGCTGACCAAACACTGGAAAGCCCCATATTTTTGAGAACCTCAAATAGAGCAATGTTTCCTGTGGGTAACGCCTTCCATCCTCACCTGCCCCCTTCCCTCCCTTCCACCTTCTGCAGAGGGAGCCCCGTGGGTGTGTGGCGGGGATAGCTGGGCTTGGTTCAGGGATTTCCTGAGGTTTGGCTCCAGAGGCCCCAAGAACTCCAGCAGGGGCTCCCACAAGAAAGCCCCAGAGCAATTCTAGAGTTCATGAACACAGACACCCAGATCCGGTAGTCACCAAAGCAAATCATGTACAGTGCTTGACCCTCTCTATGATCTCCTTAAAGACACTAACTGGCTCAGCATCCGCTTCTGGGGCTTTTTCCACATGGGCAGGCGTTATTAGTTTGGTCCATCAGTGACTCCCTCTTGTGATACTGCTACATCCTGGGGAGCACCAGGTACCGAGTCCACTCATTCAATGATTCCATTGTTTAGTGTTTCTCTCATTCAGTGATTCCATCACTCACCTTTGGCATCTTTGGGCATCAAAGATCTAGAGATCAATAACGCAAGGTCCCACCTCCAGGGCCTCATGGTATAAGGGCAACATGCAGGATGAATCACAGAAGACGAAAATGGATGATTTCATTGCAGGCTGAGAGGTGCTCTGAGGGGGGTTCACATAGGCAGATTAGGAGCTGGCATGGTCAGGGATGACTTCCCAGGGGAGGCCGTGCTGTGCCATCAGTGGCTCCCACTACCCCTAGTGGCAATGTGCCAGGGACAACACCACCTTGGAATAAATATGTACACTTTCCTGGAAAGTTATATTTTTTCTTGAAGACTTGAAGGGGAAAAGTTAAATAATTTATCTAGTAATTTAAAGCCTTGTTTTCCTATGCAAACATGTATCAAAGATGGTTATAAAAAGTAGCATACAAAATTCCACATGAACTTTCAACATAAAACAAGATATTTCAAAGGAATTTCCTACCTGCAAAAGGTCTATAACCCCATAGTCTCCTTACCTCTCTGACTGCACAATGAGTCCTCTCCCCTCTGTGTTCAACTTCCAGTATTAGTGAATGCTACTGCAGTAGAAATTTTTGAAAAGTATAGGTCTTTGGAAAAACATTTAAATTTCTTAGCCTGGCCTTCAAGGCCTTTCAGAAGGGACCCTCTGGCCTAGCAACTTCATCCTACATTACTCTCCTACACACTCTCTGTTCTCTACACAGTGGCTATTTACAGCTCTCCAAACAATAGACAATGTGCCAAGCTGGTTCATGCCTTTGTGATTTTCCACAAGTTGCTCCCTTTGCCTGGAATGCCCCTGCCCACACACCCATCTGGCAAACTCCTACTCATCCTTCAAGACCCAGCTCAAGGGGATCCTCCTCTGTGAAGCTTCCTAGCAGGCCCCAGCAAAATGAGCCACTTCCTCCCATGTACCACTCTAGGGTGTATGTGTCCCTCTCCTTGTGCAGAGATTTCTTTTCTTTCTGTGGCTGTTCCTCTGATTTGATGATGAGGGCTGAGAGAGGAGAGACTGTGTCTTATTCATATTTGTATCCCTAGCCCTCAGCATAGCACTTGGCATGTAGATGTCTATAAATATTTTATATGAAGGATTCAATGAACAAAACTTACTTTGACTCCTTTCTTCTCTTTTGTTTTTACAGTCAAGATAGGGGCTGGCTGTCGTGGCTCACGCCTGTAATCCTAGCACTCTGGGAAGCTGAGACAGGAGGATTGCTTGAGGTTAGGAGTTCGAGACCAGCCTCAGCAAAAGTGAGACACTGTCTCTACTAAAAATAGAAAAAATTAGTGGGCCGTGGCGGTGCATGCTTCTAGTCCCAGCTACTTGGGAGGCTGAGGCAGGAGGATGGCTTGAGCCCAGGAGTTTGAGGTTGCTGTGAGCTATGATGATGCCACGGCACTCTAGCCTGGGCAACAAAGCAAGACTCTATCTCAAAAACAAACAAAGAAACAAACAAACAAACAAAACACAAGATACGGAGACCAGCATTTTCTCATGAACTCTGGAAAATGCTGAAGAAATCACTCACCACAAGAAAAAAGTGAAAACTTCCATTTAATCTCTTTATAGACATTCAAATTTTATAACCCATGTGGTTCCACTGGGAACTCACTAGACCAGTGTGGTTCCTTGAGCTTGAGGAGCTAGTAGAAGTAGCCAGGTAGGAAATAGGTGGCAGTGTCGTATGGTCTGCCAGATTCCTTGAGTCACAACAGTGACAGCAATGGGGCCTAACATATCATATTCGTGCACTTACTTAAATACGTATACACAGTGACTCATTTAATTCTTGTAACAACCCATCAGGTAGCTATTATTATTACTCCCATTTTAAAGATGAGGAAACTGAGGCACAGAGAGGTTGAGTATCTTGCTCACAATCATACAGCTAATAAGTGGTAGAGCTGGGATTTGAACCCAGGAAGTCTAGCTTGGGAGTCCATTCTTCCATTCTTTATGCTATATTACTGCCATGAACAATTTTGGCTAAGAACATAGGGAATAAGAGGTAGAAAAGGAATGTGCCCTTTCACAACTAATCACCCCAGTCTCTGCGCTCTGGGATGCCCTCTGGGTTCATAAGTATCCTGCAAAGGTGCTTGGTTTCACTGGGTACAACTCCCAGACCCTGAGGGCCCAGTCTCCTCTTTGACCGCCCTGCACTTCTACTTCGTTGCAGGGAGACAGTGGTGTTTCAGTTGGCCTCATTCAGTTTGGAGCAGAGTCCTCACCAGCCTTCTCAGGAAGAGGGCTCCCTGCTCTCCCAGGTGGCTGAGGACTTGCTGGCTCCACCTCCCTGGTGGCTTTCACAACAGTACTCCAGGCTGGGGAAACCGGTGGGGCCACTTTCCTAAGGCGTATGTGTCAGGATATATATTAACATATATATATTTGAAAACCAGGGTGTCTTGCTGTATTGCCCAGGCTGGATTCCAACGCCTGGGCTCAAGCAATCCTCTTGTCTCAGCATCCTGGGTATCTGGGACTACAGGCGTGCGCCAGAGCATCGGGCAGGACCTTAAGTTTTCACGGATTCCTGTACCCCAACCAATATGTTTCAAGCAGAAAGCATGACATATGCAAAGATCCAGGAGTAAGAAAAAGCTAGGCATGTCCACAAAGCAGATGAGAAGTTAATGGCAGATGGAAGGGTGCAAGAGGGAGGGAAGGGAGATGGAGTGGAAAGGTTGCCTAGGTCTATCCTTGATTATTGCAAAAGGCCTTAAACACAAAGTAGAGACATTTGATATTTCCTCCTACAGGCAATACAGAGCGATCGAAGGTCATGCTGCTTTTTAGATTTACAGTTTGACTACTTAAGAAGCCGGTTTGCTTTTCTTCTCAACAATTTGGAAACACTGCCATCATGTGGCTGTCAGCTGATGCATGCTCCAAACTAAGTTGCTGAATTTTCTATGATGTTTAATAATTAAACCAAAGAACACATCTCTGGATTCAAACAGGTGAGGTAAAACAATGTAAACCTATATATATAAAAAAAGGATAGTTTCTATAAAGGGATAAAGATTTTCAAGAAATCAATATTTGGGTTCAACTCTCTGATTTCTTACTTTGCTTTTAAAATTCTAACCTGAGTTTTTAGAGATTCTGATCTCAAGGATCCTTTCTATTCCCACTGACCCCTATTTTATTATAGAATCATAAGCTCTCTGGCTCTGCAAAGGTTCTGCCCTTTCCAGCGATCTCCAGAACGTTTCCCTCAATTGTGGCAGATTCTATTTCAGTTCTAGGATTTTTCTCCCTGTAAGGTTTGCAGCTGGACAGACCTAAATTCAAATATTTCCACCATTTTTTTTTCCTGAGCTTCAGTTACCACATCTACAAAATCCGGATGACACCTTCTTCATAGGGTTATTGTAAGGATGAAAGGATAACGTGGGGAAAGATCGCCTGGCACGCCACAGGTCTTCATATTAAGGGAGTCCTTCCTGTTCCTTCTCTCCGTTCTTCAGGGCATGTTATTGTTGAGCACTGAGCAGGCACTCAGTAGAGGTCTGTGATTTGATTTCCGAGATTTACCTGGTCCTCAGCCACGTTCCTGAGAATAAAACTACTCATCCCCTCAGGCTTTGGGGACTGCCCCCGATTTCCGAGCATCTGCAGGGAGTCCGGGCTTGCTGGGGATTGCAATCCACGCGTCTCTTCTGTGCCCAGCAGCCGGCAGGTGCGTGGGAGCGAGCCAGGCTGGGCCCTGCGGCCTTCATTCCTCGCCGCTCCCTTCCTAGGGGCTGGAGGGTGCGCGTGTGTGTATATAATTTAATCCCCGTGGGACTGGCGTCTGGCCTCATCCGCAGCTCCGCGGATTGGCTGACTGTCTCAGCTCGCCCCCGCCCTCCGTATCCCCGGTGTCCCAGGTGGCTCGGGCCCCTGTGGTGATCTCTGTTTACGGAGAGAACTCGTCCAAGTTGGGCTCCATCTCTGCACTCGCTGGCCTCCCGGGCCCAGTCCGCCTGGGAAGCGGCGCGAAAACCGGCCGAACCGTTCTTCGCCCTTCCCCTCCCCCCACCGCCCGGAGAGGTCGGGTAAGGGGTGAGGAGTGTGTGTGGGAGGGGGAGCCCCGGGCCTGGGGGATCGGGCAGTCCCCGGTCCCGGTACCTCACGCGGACCTAGGAGTTCTATCCCTAGGCCTGCTTCCCGCTCCCTCCGCCCCCGCACTATCGTGCCCGGGTGACGTGCCCACCCTGGGCAAGCAGCCAGAGGCTGGATCTCAGGGATGCCAGCTCCCTAGCGGAGGCAAAGACGTGGAGACTTCACTCACAGGTGTTTCCCCACCCCAGCCAGACAGTGATGACCCCCAAGCCCGTCGGACCCCCGGACGGGGGCTGGGGCTGGGTGGTGGCAGCCACAGCCTTCGCGGTGAACGGGCTCTCCTACGGGCTGTTACGCTCCTTGGGCCTTGCCCTCCCTGACCTCGCCGAGCACTTTGACCGAAGCGCCCAGGAGACTGCGTGGGTCAGCGCCCTGGCCCTGGCCGTACAACAGGCAGCCAGTGAGGGGGGCCCCGAGGCGGGAGGCGGGAGGCGGGAACCGGGTGGAGAGGCCTTGAATGTGGTGGTGGGAGGCCCACCCGGTTACCAGACCACCTGAGCAAGGGCGACCTTTGGAGCCAAGTTCTAGAAAAAAGTGGATCTTGAGGTCAAGGGGAGGAACTGTTAGCCTGGGGGTGGAGTTTTAAGCCAGGCAAGCAGTCAATGGGAGATGTTAGTGTTTCGGGGACCAGGGGCGTGTCTTCCGTTAACTCAGCCCACTTCTAGGCCCAGTGGGCAGCGCCCTCAGCACACGATGGGGGGCGCGCCCGGTGGTGATGGTTGGGGGTGTCCTTACCTCGCTGGGCTTCGTCTTCTCGGCTTTCGCCCGCAGTCTGGTGCACCTCTACCTCGGCCTGGGCCTCCTCGCAGGTGAGGGGAGTGGGACGCCCGGGCCCTTCAGGGGTGAAGGTGGGGAGGGGAGCTTGTTGGGGGCTGGATGGGTGAACGAGGCGGAGGCCTCCCGCAGGAAGCAGGGCTGGGAATGCTGGGGCGGGCATCCCCGGTACCTGCCCTCAGCCCGTCCTATTCATTCGCAGGTTCCGGCTGGGCCCTGGTGTTCGCTCCAGCCCTCGGTACCCTCTCGCGTTACTTCTCCCGCCGTCGAGTCTTGGCTGTGGGGTTGGCGCTCACGGGCAACGGGGCCTCCTCGCTGCTCCTGGCGCCCGCTTTGCAATTCCTCCTTGATACTTTCGGCTGGCGGGGCGCCCTACTCCTCCTTGGCGCCATCACCCTCCACCTCACTCCCTGTGGCGCCCTGCTGCGACCTCTGACCCTCCCTGGCGACGCCCCGGCCCCACCCCGCGGCCCCCTAGCTGCCCTCGGCCTGGGTCTCTTCACTCATCGGGCCTTCTCAGTCTTTGCTCTGGGCACGGCCCTGATTGGGGGCGGGTACTTCGTTCCCTACGTGCACTTGGCCCCCCACGCTTTAGACCGGGGCCTGGGGGGGTACGGGGCAGCGCTGGTGGTGGCTGTGGCTGCGGTGGGGGATGCGGGCGCCCGGCTGGTCTGCGGGTGGCTGGCGGACCAGGGCTGGGTGCCCCTCCCGCGGCTGCTGGCCGTGTTCGGGGCTCTGACAGGGCTGGGGCTGCTAGTGGTGGGACTGGTGCCTGTGGTGGGGAGCGAGGGGGACTGGGGGGGTCCCCTGCTGGCCGCGGCTATGGCCTACGGGCTTAGTGCCGGGAGTTTCGCCCCGCTGGTTTTCGGCGTGCTCCCTGGGCTGGTGGGCCTTGGAGGTGTGGTGCAGGCCACCGGGCTGGTGATGATGCTGATGAGCCTCGGGGGGCTGCTGGGTCCCCCCTTGTCAGGTAAGGGCCTGAGCCTGCAGATCCGATTACAGCTATCCTCTGCCCCTTGGGTCCCAGGCCTCTAAATTCCTTCACCCATCCTCAGGCTTCCTAAGGGATGAGACAGGAGACTTCACTGCCTCTTTCCTCGTGTGCAGCTCCTTCATCCTCTCCGGCAGTTTCATCTACGTGGGGCTGCCCAGGGCGCTGCCCTCCTGCCGTCCAGCCTCACCTCCCGCCACTCCTCCTCCTGAGATGGGGGAGCTGCTCCCAGTCCCAGTCCCGCAGGTTGCCCTGCTCTCCCCAGGAGGCCCTCACTCTACTCTGGACACCACTTGTTGATCATCTCCTTGTTTGAGTCCCTCCCCCAATAAAGAATTCTTACCCAGTTTTCCTGAAAGCTCCAACTGTTAGCCAATCTAGGACCCTCAAAACATTCTGCTTTAATATCAAAAAAGGCTGGCTGCCAGGAACAGGATCCCAGGAGGCCCTGAGGGTGGGAAAGGGTACCTGTCCTTCCAGCCAATCCACTTCTCTTTGCCCAAGACCTTGCCATAACGGGGAGTCTTTGAGAAGTTGTCTGCCAGTCAGTTTGTTTGTTGGGGGTGGAAGGTGCTCATGGGTGCTATCTACCCCACCCTCATTTTCTTTGCCCTAGTATCCACACCTCCCAGACTCTTTCCTGCATTTCAATCTCCTTCTATTGGCCTGAGGGAAATATAAGAATCCTAGGCCCAGACTTCAGCTTTATCAGCTTTCTCCCCTTCACATATACCCCATATCCTCACCATTCTTTCAATTTCTTTTCTAAGTCATAAGGATTGGGGAAGAGGAGGGGGTGTGTGGGTAGGAGGTACTGTGGCTCAGGGAGCAGAGTCCAGGCTTAAAATGTTGTGGGTCACCAGAGCTTCTGGACACCTCCTCTCTACTCCTAGTCATGACTCCAGCCAGCCAACCCAAGCATATGGGCCCCAGCTCTTTTTGAGGTTATGATTATTTTCTTATTCAGTTTTATCTCAAGGGGACAATTCTTATTTCCCAAACATCTGTCTTCAGAGAAGAAACTTAGGAGGCAATACTAGAGATTATATGTAAAACATGATAAGTCTTGGCCTTTGATTTTCATAGTTGTGGAGCAGGAACTCCTGGATCCTTCAGAACTCCTAGATCTTTTAGAAAAGGTTGGGGGGAAAAATAAAAGAAAAATAAAAACAAATAAACGAGAAAAGGTTGGAGGAACAAAGGAGGAGAAATACAGGGCCTCAACAAAATACAAAGGGTTGGCACACACACTGCAGGAGCCCCAGGCCTGCTCTGGGGGCAGGCAGAATAAGAATTGTAAGGCACTGTGGTTCTAGGGATGCCAAAATGGGGCAGACCTGGAGCTGTCAAACTCTGGCTTTCTGGGCATGACTGCCTCTTTGTGGAGTTCACTCCTCTCCCAGTCCCTCGTTGGGCAGGGGGACTTTGGTATCCAGTGCCTCTGTTACGAGTTCCTGGGCCCTAGATGTAGTAGCTGAGAAGCAGGAGAAGAAGTGGGGCAGAGTGATGAGAACTCCACTCCCTGCAAGAAGGAAGGCCCCAGCCACCACAAATGAAGCCGTGTAGTTGCCCGTCACATCCCGGAGGTAGCCTAGGTTCAAGAAAGAAAAATAATACACATGGGTGATCTGTTTGCTGGGGCTGATGGCTCAGTCACATTTTTGGGTGGAGGGAATATACCCATCATCTTGGAGGAGATGGAGCTCCCAAGGTAGGGTTGGATGAACATAAGAACTCTGGTTTCCCAAAGAGGCCTCAAAAGGTAATTTCAACTACCTTCCTGCCTTCAGTAAGGACCTCCAAACCAGCCCGCAGGGAGCTGGAGATCCAGATGGAGTCAAGCACCTGTGCTTTTCTTTCTGGCAACTGTGACCCTTCTACACCTTCAGTTAATGGGTAAAAGGAAAATGTTAAAGGTCTGAAAGTTTTGGCACTTTGAGCCTATAGAACTTTGACCAGGAAGCCCAGACACCAGGGCTGGGGCGCAGGGAGCCAAAGGAGAGGGAAGACATTATGTCTGGCCAGGTTCAGCCAGGTCCTCAGAAAACCCAAGCTGTAGGTGCCCTGCCAAGAGTTCCACCTAGCTCCTCTTTGTCTTTCCACTGAGACCTTCCCAGCCCCAAGTTCTCTGCCCCATGGACCCATTTCAGGGCTGCTATGATTGGCCATGCAGGGTGTATACTGTACCATATCAGAGGGCAATATTCACATACACTGTAAGGGGAATAGTTCCCTCCCCCAACTGTGCAACATGGAAGCCCTGGCCCACCTGGTAACCCCATTCCCTTTACCTGACAGAGGAGCCCCAAGCAGTCCCCCGAGGCTCTCTACCATCTGCAGCAGTCCCAGGCCACAGTAAATCCTTCCAGTCCCTACCAGTTCAGGTAGCACAGAGAAGGCCACTGGGGTCAGGGCACCTGATGTGAAGCCATAGGCCACAGTCAGAGCCACCACGGCTGTGGGAGACTGAGCGACAGGGAATAGGACTAGTGACACCCCAGTCAAGGTGGTCCAGAGCATCAGGAGTCGTGCCACAGGCCCTGGGACTGCATCTCCCAGCCACCCAGAGGCCACACGCCCCACGAGATCAGAAATAGCAGCCACTGATAGGAGGAAGGCAGCAGGTAGTGGGTCCCAACCCAGGTCCTGGAGATGGGCCACTAGGTGGACATAGGGAATAAAGTAGCCAGTATTGATCAGGGTGAGTGCAACAGTGTAACGGAGGAAGGGGCCATGATGGAGGAGGGAGGTGAGTTGGACCCAAGGGCCACCCACAGCAGTGTCCTCAGCCAGGCAGAGTGGGCGGAGGAGAGCACCACAGGCCACCAGGTGGAAGGAGAGGGCAGACACCAGCAGTAAGGCCCCCCGCCAGGCATAGTAGCTGAGCAGCCACTGGAAAAGGGGGGCAAATGCAAAGGAGGAGAGGCCCACGCCTGTCAGTGCCAGCCCGGTGGCCAGGGATCGATGTCGAGAGAAGTAACAGGACAAGCAGGCAATGGTCGGAGCGAAGGTCAAGGCCCAGCCAGACCCTGTCAAAAAGGAAGAAACGGGAGTTGGGGACTCTTAGGAAGCTCAGGGCATCCAGTAATCCCAACAGCAGAAGGTAGCACTTGCTTTGCAGTCCCACAGACCTGGGTTTCAATCCTGGCTCTGACACTTTCTAGCTGTGTGACCTTGTGTGTTTTACTTACTCTCCCAGCCTCAATCTCCTCATCTGCAAAATCGGGGTCATACACTATTTGGACTGTGGAGGATTAGAGATAATGTTTGTAAAGCAACTAGCATAGAGCTTTGGAGTTACACCCCAGCTCTACCATTTCTAGCTGTGTGACCTTCACTTGCCAAGTCGTGTAAGCTTTTAAAGCCTTTCTTTGACTGTAAATAGGATAATGATATTTATTTCACAGTCACAGTACCTAGCACAATTTTACAGTAATCCTTCCTTTTACACTCCAGTCCCACTAACTCTGGGCTTATATACCCAGTTTCACCATCTTTGAATTTCCTGATTTGTCACCATGCTGATCGATTTAATCATCCCTCTTAAGCATTCCCTTCGGGGCACAAGTGCTAGTCAAACTTTCCCTCAGCTTCTTCCTAATCCTTTTGGAAGGAGCAGGAGGAAGTTGAAAATCAAAACACCAATGATCTAAGCATTTGACTCTCCTGCTTTCATCCAGGGTCTCACCTGAGAGCAACCCAATACTCAGGTATAGTTGGGTCAAGGAGGTAGCGAAGGAGGCGAGCAGCATCCCCAGCGCGGCCAAGATGCCTCCAGTCATCACCACGGGCCTGGGCCCGAACTTCGTGCTCAGGGCACTGCCTAGCGGGCCTGGGGAAGTAGAAGGGGTTCTTTGAGAAGATCTCAGTCGTCACCCCCCTATTCCCCGCTCTTCCCCTTTCCTGCGCCCGCATCCCCTCTCCTCTCCAAGGGTCGCAGGACGCCGGATCCAGGGGCAGCACTCACTCCCAAACTGCTGCACCGCGATTCCAATGGAGGCGATCCAGGAGACGCGCGCTGCCTGCTCTTCAAACGCTGCCACAAACTCCACGAAGAAGACGCCAAAGGAGCGGAGCACCCCGAACACCAGCGCCGACTGGAAGAACGCTGAGAGCACCACCATCCATCCCCAGCCCCCGTCGGGGGGCTCGGCCCTGCTCGCCATGTGGGCGGTGACAGGGCTGCTTCCACTAAGCACCCCTGCAGTCGCTGGGCTCCGGGCGCTCCGCTTCTGCCCACCCGCCCTCCCCGCTGGCGGCTCGGGGCGGAGCCAAGGAGAGGCTGGTAGAGAGAAAGATACTGACGGGGCGGCGTGAGGCGCCCGAGCCTTTCCCCCATGGGGGCGATATAGGACAGGCGAGCAGGCCCGCGATGGCCCCGGCAGAAGCGCCGGGGGCGTGGCTCCCGTGGCTCGCCGGAGCGTCGGGGTCTGGGCGGGATCGGTCCGGGCTCCAAGGTTCGGTTAGGAGCCTGGGAGCGTAACTGGGCTTGCGCTACACCCCGCAGGCGCACCAGTCCGGGTGTGGATTATCTATTTTATCATTGCGGGGTGTCAGCCCGTGGCCACGCCGGGCTAACATCCACATCCAGAGCTCACCCATGAGGACGCGGAATTCCTGAGCAGGGGACGGAGCCAGAGGGCAGGGCGGGATTTACGCTTTGTTCTGGACTGGGCGGTGAATGGGGCGCATGCGCGAGGAAAGGCATTAGGTAGGGCCCCACGTGATGCAGGGACCAACCAGGCAGCTACCAGGGTCTCCTATTCACCTTGCGGGCCAACTCGTTCACATTTTAGCACCCAGACCCGCACGGAAGGGTTGGTGGTGGGTAAACTGCTTCTGGAGGGGAAAGTAATTACTTGCTTAATGAGGGGTCCACGAATTGCAAGGCCGTGGGGGAGCGAAGGAGGGGTTATGAGATGAGGCTTAAACGAAATAACCTGGCGGGGCGCCTACGGTGCTAACGCAGCTTCTAGAATCTAGATGCTTGGATCCTTGAGAGGTTCATAGGCCAAAGGAAGAGAGAAGGAGAATGGGTTATTGGACTCCTGGCTTTCATTTCTGCAATAGGAACTCGTTCCTGTCACTTCTGTTCCTACTAACAGGAAACCTGCAGGTCACGGAGGCCAAAAATAACTGGGGAGAGGAAGGGCGGCTGTGAGCTCATACAGGGCCCCACCAGCACCACCTACCTCTTCCTCAGTGGGGCTGGAACCTTTTCCTCTGCCCTCTAGTAACAACCATTTCCTAACCACTTTTTTTGATCTAACGATGGAATAAACTAGAGACAAACAAACTATGGCCCTGGCTACTGGAGGAATCAGCCTCTCCTACCCAGCCAGTCCTCAGACCCCTAGCAAGCACTCCCTGGTCCTCCTCCCCAGTCCCCATAGCACTAATGGTTTGGGTTTCCTGTACCTTCATTATAAGTTAAGCTCTCCAGGACCCTGACCTTAAAAGCTTGGACTCAAAGGCTCATACCCAGACTAGTAGGGAAAGAAGATGGAAGTGGGGAGGGAGGCTGTGTAGTCATAAAAAGCATACTGAGACTTATAATTTTATATGTGGTAAATAAAAATCATACTGAGAAACCATATATATATATATATATACACACACACATATATATATATATTTTTTTTGGTAAGTGGAGTCAAATGTTGGCTGGTGGGGAATATGCCAAAGATGCAGAAATTAGTGTGGCTGTATTACATAGTGGTTAAGAGCTCAGTCTTTAGAATCAGATCACAGTTCCAATCTTGATTTCATTACTTACTAACTTCAGGGGTCAAGATATTGAAGCTCTCAGTTGTTTTCCCAATCTGCAAATTGGGGATAATAACAGTACCTACTTTCTAGGGTTGCCAGGGGGGTTAAGTTAGAACATCTATGCACTGAAATGCTTAGTTTAGGGTCTGACATGTAGCAGGAGATAACTAATATTAGCTGGTCTTATTTTCAACAGGGGATAAACTGTAAGGGGAGGTGAAGGGAGGTTTTAGTTTAGTTTTTGGTTCTTGCTTTTTTTAAAAAAATCTAATCCAGGTCATAGGTTTTAAAAGATTGAGAAACAAAACCACTGCTATGTTTTGAATGTCCCCTTCAAAAACTCATGTTGAAACTTAATCCCCAATGTGGCAGCATTGAGAGGTGGGGCCTTTAAGAGTGATTGGATAATAAAGGCTCTGTGCTCCTGAATGGATTCATGGGTTAATGGATTAATGGGTTACCATGGGAGGGGAACTGGTACTTTATGAGAAGAGGAAGAGAGACCTGAGCTAGAACATTAGCATGCTCAGCCAGTCACCACGCAATACCCTGTGCTGCCTTGGGACGCCACAGAGTGCCCCACCTGCAAGCAGACTCTCACCAGGTGCAGCCCCTTGACCTTGGACTTCTTGGCCTCCATAACTGTGAGAAATAAATTCCTTTTATTTATAAATTACCCAGTTTCCAGTATTCTGTTATAAGCAACAGATAAATGGACTGAGACAGAAAATTGGTACCGAGAAGTGAGGTATTACTGGTAACAAACATCTGAAAATGTGCAAGCAGCTTTGGAACTGGGTAATGGGCAGAGGTTGGAAGAATTTGGAGGAGCAAGCTAGAAAAAGCCTAGATTGTGATGAGGGCTTAGAAGACAAGAAGATTAGGGAAAAGTTGGAATTCCTTAGAGATTGGTTAAGTGGCCATGACCAGAATGCTGATATGGACAGTAAAGGCCATTCTGACACGCTTTCAGATGGAACTCAGGAACAAGGTATTGGAAACTGGAGTAAAGGCCATCCTCGTTATAAACTGGCAAAGAACTTAGCTGAACTATGTCCACGCCTGAGGGCTTTGGGGAAGGCTGAACTTGAGAGTGATGAATTAGGGTATCTGGCAGAAGAAATTTCTAAGCAGCAAAGTGCTGAGGCTGCTGTGTGGTTACTTCTAACTGCTTATGGTGAACTGGTAGAGAAAAGGGAAACAGAGAGGAAAAATGTGGAAATTTTTCAGCCTGCCCAAGTGGTAGAGAATGAAAGAGCGTTTTCGGGAAAGGAATCCAAGGGTGAGGCCAAGCAATCACTTGCTAAAAAGATGAGCATGGCTAAAAGGGAGCCAGGTGCTATTCTTCAAGAAAATGGAAGACTGAGGACCCTGAAGTCATTTCAGAGATCTTTGAGGCTGCCCCTCCCATCACAGGCCCAGCGGTGTCAAAGGGCAGAATGGTTTCAGGGGACAGGCCTGGGGCACTCTCCAAGGGCTCACAGCCCAGGGCTTCCTCAAGACTCTGCACCCTGCACCCCAGTGCAGCGCTCTGCAGCCACCCTAGGCAGTGGTGGCGTAAGTGGCCCCAGGTGAGGCTTGTGCCCCAGCTCCGGAAGGTACAAATGATAGACCTTGGTGGTGTCCATGTGGTGCTAATTCTGCAGGCTTGCGGAAAACAAGAACTCGGAAGCTTGGCAGCCTCTACCCAGATTTTTCAAAGGAGGTCATTGAAAGCCTGCGGGCCCAGGCAGAGACTTGTCACTGGGGCAGTGCTGCCACCATAGAGAGCACCTACCAGAGCAATGCAGAGCAGAAATGTGGGTTTGGAGCTGCTGCAGAGAGTGCTCACCAGGGCAATGCCCATTGGAGCTGTGGAAGCGTGGCCTCTGCAGAGTCCCCACTAGGGCAATGTCTAGTGGACCTGTGGGAGCAGGACCACCACTGGGACCCCAGAACTGTGGAATCACAGGCAGCATGCAACACCCACCTAGGAAAGCTTCAGGCACCAGATTCCAACCCTTACATAAGAGCTGCCACAAGGACAGGGCTGCCTCAAGCCTGGGTGCCCTACCTCTGCCCCAGTGTGTCCAGGAGGTGTCATGTGGAGCCAAAAAAGATTATTCTCCAGCTTTAAGATGTACTGTCTGCCCTGCTGGATTTTGGACTTGCTTGGGGCCTGTTACCCCTGTCTTCTTGCCTATTTCTTTTCTCCCTTTTGGAATGCAAATGTGTACACAATGCTTGTTCCCACTGTTGTCTCTTGGAAGTAGATAACTTGTTTTGATTTTACAGGCTCACTGATGAGACTTTGTACTTTTTAGTTGATGCTGGAATGAGTTAAGACTTTGGGGCTATGGGGATGGAATGAATGTATTTGTATGTGAGAAGGACATGAGTTTTGTGGGCCCAGGGGCAGAATGCTGTTTTGAATGTCTCCTCCAAAAACTCATATTGAAACTTAATCCCCAGTATGGCAGTATTGAGAGGTGAGGCCTTCAAAAGGTGATTAGATCATGAGGGCTCTGCCATTCATGGATTAATGGGAACTAGTGGCTTTATAAGAGGAAGAGGGACCTGAGCTAGCCCCCTTGCCATGGATATCCTGTGTCACAGAGAGCCTCCACCAGCAAGAAGACTCTCACCAGATGCGGCCCCTTGACCTTGACTTCTCAGCCTCCATAACTGTAAGAAATAAATTCCCTTTCTTTATAAATTGCCCAGTTTCAGGTATGCTGTAATAAGCAACAAGAAAATGGACTAAGACGACCACAAACTAAATGTTGGAGGGAACTGCAGAGACCATGTTAACTGATGTTTTTCACAGATGAGGAATTTAAGACCCAGAGGGATAACATCAGAATTGGCAACCTGTGCCCACGGGGTAAAACAGAGCTGTGCAGCCAGCACACACAGGACAGGGGAAAGGGTGGGAGAGACATGCAGTGGACACTGGATAGGTTCCAAGTATGGATGGAGTTGGCATGTTGGCTCTAACCACATGGTCTTTTCACTGCCCCCTCTAGCCCCTGTTGTCCTCATGGGATCCAAGTCCTATCCATTTTCCTTGGTGATGGAGGCATGTCCCAAGCATTAAGGTCCCCAGCCTCTTGGTATTATTAGTTGCTTCCTGGTTTCTCCCTACCACCTCCACACCTCAGGCAGGAAGTGACTTCAGAGCAGCAGGATGCAGGTGGCTCCGGAGAAACTTCATGAAGTCACTGGTTCCTACACAATGAGCCGGAAGGCAAGGGCAGGGAAGGGGAGAACAAGGACCATTTAAAATGTCTCATGGGATGGGACAGGGCAATGGGCACAGAATCCAAGATGTTATCCAGGAGGGAAGAACCTCCTTTTCCAGCCCCCAGATATGCCCCCCTGCAAGAACCTGAGACACAGGTGGCACAGAGAGGCTTCTTTATTCCAAGGATCTGATCTTGAAAGAGATCACATCTCAACCCCCAGGCATTGTCAACCTGCCCTTCCAGTCTGCTAAATAGAAATCATGGTTCCTTCTAACATCTTTCCTCTGCCTTCTCTCTCTCCTTCAATTCTGCAATGGGGAGTGAAAGGGAAAGAGAGAATAGCTTTCTCCCTAGTCCCCAAGTGACAGCCACTAGTACTGACAAGATAAGTGAAGTTCCACTCCACAAATTCAAAAGTGCTTTTTACCCTCCAGCCATGTCCCATAATCAAATAGGCGCCAGGGCAACAAGTGGCAGGACTATAAATCAAGGCTTCATAGTATCATCTAACATTCCATCTAACATCTAAGATTCCACCCAGCCTAGAGGCAACCCCATTCTAACTTTCTTCCTACCTGACCTACACCAGAAACTGTACCCTTCAATCAACATCTTAATCCTACCTAGACACTTGGTCAACTAGAACAGGCCTTTGGCCCGTCAGCCAATCAATCTTTTAAATCCTTGATCCCAATGACAATCCCAATCATAATCCCAGACTACAGCAAACCCAGAATGGAACTCAGCCCCCTTTTTTTTTCTGTGGATGGTTCTAATGCATTCACTGGTCTCAGACAGGAATGCAGTGATGGGAAGACTGGGTCACAGACCCAGATTTTCTAAAGTAAGAAAGTTACCAAGCACCGTGACCTCTAGAGGCAAAGAGGTTTCTGGCATCTGAACACTTGCCAGAAGATGTCCAAAAACCCAGTAAGGAAAGAAAGGGCTTGTCTCAGGTAGAGAGAACCCCAAGGAACATTCAAACCCAGATGCCTCTGCAGTAGAGGATGGGTCACAGCTCTTTACCATCTAATCAAGGTAAAAAGTTTCATAATTCTCCCCTAGGTCATAACATTCATAGAGACTGGGCAGAGTCAGAAAAGGTCATATCATCTCTGATAAAGAATTTCCGATCTCTCCACAATGGAGTGATCAACTCAGTGCTAATAACAGGCCCTAGTGGGAGGATTACAGGCTCAACTCAAGCCTCTACCATTATAGATGGGTACAGCAGAGCCAAACCCAGGTGACCAGATTGATGGGACAGTTTAGATTCTGGACCATCTTTCAGGAGACTACCAGCCTCCACTTGCGGTGATGCAGAATCCAGCCCCTACACCCACAGCCTACAGGTCGCATTTATTACCTCCATTTAAGGCTCACCACAAAGCTTCCTATCACCCTTTAAGACAAGAGAAATGTCTATATCCAGTTCTAGCCTGCTAGAGAACCTACAACATCCAGAACACCAGAGAGGTTTCCTGACCCAATTCCACAATCCAACAAGTTCCTGGAACTGCCCTAGGACAAACAAAGGTTCCAGACCTAGAATTGGAGGGACAGGACACAGAGAACCCCTTTCTCCATTTTACACAAGCCAACAAGCAAACAGGAGAAAGAACAATTCTAAAGATAAAATTATGACAATAATAATGTAATACACTCAAGCCAAAGGAGAGAGCCAAATGTTAATATTCTCTGCCAGCAGAGCTGTGACCTCACCTTCTGTGTTTTGGGTCACTTTTGAACACATTCATGGAAGAGGAAAGTGGGAAATGCAATAGAATGAAGGCCCTGGTGCCACCCAAAGGCTTCAATAAATTATATTTACAGATAAACTGAATGTGATGGGGGCCGCGGGTGGAGAGCTGTTCCCTTAAGGAAACCAGGTCTCCAGTCTCTCTCCTCCCCCATCCCCTAGCTAGCTCTCTCCTCAGAAACAATCTGGATTGTGGGGAAGAGGTTTTGACCAGCAAAACAGAGGCAGATCTAGCTGGGATCTGCCACCCCTGCTCTTCCCAGCGAGAAATTAAGGTGGCAGCAGTTTCTGATACCAGAGTGGACTTGCACACCCCCATGCCCAAGCCTGACAGTGAAGCCAGGCCTGAGCCTGCAGCTTTTCCTGGCCTCCAGGAGCTAGGGCCCCCCCAGAATGTGGTAGTGCACTTTGGTGTTGGTAGCAGCTCCATGTTTCTGGCGCAGATGCAGCCGCAGTTGACTCTTGTGCCGGAAATGCAGGCCGCAGGGGTCACACTGTGGGAGGACAGCCTGTCAGGGCTCTCTCTATTCACAACCACCTTTTAGGTGTTGAGCAAGAGGGAACTGTCCAGCTGTCCACTGAGAATTAGCTCTTGGGCCCTGACATCCTCCTAAATCCTCAGGGCAGCCCAGGAGCTAGGTCCCGCCTTATTTAGCAGAGGTTTTCCCACCCTTTAGCCTCTCTCTGGGAAAATAGTGCCCAGCCCAGAGCATAACTTCCACACCTGTCCATTCCTACCCGGAGCCTCCTCCCCTTAGTGACTCAGACTCTTCCAGGCCACCACCCATTTCGGAGAGATCTAGGGACAGCAAGGCCTGTTCCCCTCAGAGCCCCGCCCCTAGGTAAAGGGGAGGTAATTCTAAGGTATGGGCCAGGCCAGGCCGGTACCCACGTGGTAAGGCTTCTCTCCCGTGTGGATGCGAACGTGGCTCTTGAGGGTCTGTAGGTGGCGGAAGCGAGTCCCGCAGGTAGGGCAAGGATAGGGCTTCTCCCCAGTGTGGATCAGCACGTGAGCCCGCAGGTGCGCTACCTGGGAGGGGAGGAGACTTCAGACCACGCCTCTGGGAGGGACAAAACCCTCCTTATTGGCCCGCCCCGCCCTCTTGCAGATTTGCCTTTGAACCCGCTCAGAGGCTGGCTCTGTACCTGTACAAAGCGCGAGCCGCAAGTCTCACACTTATAGGGCTTTTCTCCGGAATGGATGCGGCTGTGAGTTTTCAGGTTAGCGGGCCGGTTAAAACGGGCGCCGCAGATGGAGCAGTGGTAGGGCTTTTCCCCTGGAGACAGGGAGGATGGGAGGTCAGGGACTTTGCCCAAGGACAGCTGTAGGAGCAAGGTCAGGGTAGTCTCCTCCCCTACCTGTGTGCACCGTGCGGTGACTGGCCAGGTTGCCCTTGTATCGGAAGGCAGACCGGCAGAGCTGACACTTATAGGGCTTGTCCTCGGCCAAGGGGTCCAGCCCCGATGAGCACCCTGCCACAGCCTCACAGTTTTGGCAGCTGAAAAATTCACTTCCTAGGAAGGGGGGTGGGTAATGACAGTCATAGTTATTTAATGAGGGCTTCCTAGGTACCAGTGAATCCTCAAATCACACAGTAGCAGGTTTTTATTTTTATTTTTTTTCGAGACAGAGTCTCACTCTGTTGCTCTGTTGCCCAGGCTCGAGTGCCATGGCATCAGCCTAGCTCACAACAACCTCAAACTCCTGGGCTCCAGTGATCCTCCTGTCTCAGCCTCCCGAGTAGCTGGGACTACAGGCAAGCACCACCACACCCAGCTAATTTTTTCTATTTTTAGTAGAGACAGGGTCTCGCTCTTGCCCAGGCTGGTCTGGAACTCCCCAGCTCAAGTGACCCTTCCACCTTGGCCTCCCAGAGTGCTAGGATTACAGGTGTGAGCCATCGCACCTGGCCCAGCAGTGGGTTTTCTTCTCCCCAATTCACTATTAAGGCTTCTGGGCCTCTTTGGACTTGCCCAAGGTTTAGTAAGAAGATGAACCAAGATCTGGTTCCACATCTGTCTGATCCCAGAGTACTCAGCTAATCCTCTTCCATAGTGGTGGTGGCAGGTGGAGGCCCCTGCTAGTGGGTGAAGGTCTTTGTTTCTCCTCCCATCTTGCACCACTCTGGATAACAGCCTGCCGGAGAGGCCCTGGCAAGCCCTGGGCCGACCACTCAGCCATGAATTGGGATAGGCCAGAAATTTCCAAGCTTTACTGCTCATTGGAAGCACCTGGGGAACTTTAAGAACTATTGCTGCCTGGTCCCCACTTCCAGACATTCTGATCTGTGGGGTGTGACCTGGGCAACGGGAGTTTTAAAAGCTTCCTAGGTGATTCTAATTTGCCGTAAAGTTCAGAAACCATTGGAATGGTCTTTCCTGAGGTCCTTTGGCCCAAATTGGCCTGGAGCAGCCACAGGAGAAAAGCAAGGAAACAGGGGCTCTTACCTGGTGGTGGACGAGCTGGCTCAGAGGGTGACCCAGTGGTCTCTTGAGAGTGGGGTGTGAGGAGATGGGGGGTATTGGCTGGAGCCCCACATTTTAGCTGTACAGTGGCAGCAGTCACAGAGAGCCTAAGCAGATGGTAAGGCCCAGAGATAAGGGTTAGGAGATTATATGGGGGGGGATTCTCTACTGGAGAACTTGGAGCCAAAGGCCTAGCCTCTGGCAGTGAGCTAGTATTGACCAATGAGCCACATCCATTGTGCTGCCAAAGTCCCACCCCACTGAATAAGCCTGTCTGCTGGCCAACTCCCTAAGGTGGGCTAGTGTCTCTGAAACCCATTCCTATCTCCCTGCCTCCTGGCCTGGAAGGCCCAATGGCTCTGCCTCCTAGCTCAGACCAGCCTCTACAAATTCTTAGGCTTCCAGATTCTGTACCTGCTCTGGGGACCAGGAATGGGTCCTTCTTCACTGCTGCTGCTGCTGCTGCTGCTGCTGGAGGCCTCATCTCCACTGGGGAGTCTGGCTTGGGGGCAAGGTTGACCAGAACTCTTTTCCCCCACCAGGCTCCCTGCTTGGGAGGCCTGAGAGTTCAGCACGATGTACTTGTACTTTTTCCAGTTGCAGGCCTTGGGGTCTGGGCTAGCCGGACTGGAGGGCCCTTGACTGCAGCTTCGAGACTCAGTAGGTGGGTCTGGGTGTCCTTCGGAGCGCCTGGGACTGCCTGGTGGAGGAGCCGTTGGAGGGATGGGGGGTTCTGCTTCCAGGGGTTGTAGGGAGATGCCCAGAGGTTCATAGCTGGGAAAAGTGTGATGGACATTAGTGCCGTTTCCTCGTCTCCGCCTTTGCCCTTGACACCTGGGGCATCGCCTCACCCACGGTGAACACGAGCCTTGGTTCCCTCACCTGGCCTGGATGAAGCGGTGGCATGCTTGGACCACGTGCTCCATCTGCAAGTAGGTGGCAGCTGCAAGGACGGCTGGTGCAGTGGCCGGAGAGAGGCGCAGGCGCGAGGTGTACATGAAGTCCAAAAGAGTAGTGAAGCCTCTGGCTTCGGGGCCCCCGGGCAGAGAGAGCACGTCCACCCCCACTCCCGCACGGCCCCGAAAAATTGAGTAGAAGAAGCCACTGGAGAAAGGACAGATAGGTCACGGTAGGGGCTGGGGAACCAAGGTAGACACGGACCACTTTAAAATCCCCGCCCCCTGAAAATCCCCGCCTCCTCACTATCATCCCGCCCCTAATTCCAGGACGCTCCGCCTCATGCTTTTGAAAGGCTTGGCTTCGGATTCCCACACGGCGGCCTATGGCTCCGCCCCTTCCCATTTGGTCCCGCCCCACCCGCAGAGGCCCCACCCCTCGAACCTGCAGGCGATAAGAACTGCCTTGTGCGCTCTGAGGGGTTGCCCGCCAACTAGCAGCGTGACGTCAGTGAGGATCCCGCGCAGGCGCAGCTCATTCAGATTGCCCAGCACGTCGGAGGAGTGGCGAGTGAACTCTCGGACATAGCCCAGCGCTCCCTCCGGGGTAGCGGTGGAACCCATAGCGACGCAGGCCTGCAGATGCCACGGATAGGGCTCAGGGACCAGGCTGTCCTAAGACGCTTCCCTTCTCTGTTTGCCTTGTCCTCCCGAGGTGCAGATAGAGCCAAGGCCTCCAGCCCTCGGCACCGGTACACTCAGCCTCACTCTTAATTCATCTTGTTCATTCTGCCCTCACCCACACCGTCGCTCTCTTCCCTCTTCTAGATCGCACAGCAGTTGGAGCCAGTTCCCACACTGCTGCGTTGTTAACAGGCAAGCGTGGAGAATCAGGCGCCCAGCGCCCTTAGTTCGACTCCTAGTACCCCTCCAGCACCCGCACGCCCCTCTGCTCCGCTGCGCGCTTAAGTCTCAGGTATCCGACCCTGCCTAGAGACCCCACACGACCAGCGGTCCGTAGCCCTCCAAATCCCAGTCGAATCTCTCTTCCCCGAACTATGGAATTCTGCTCTTCCTACCTAGTCCCCAATCCCTAGTTTAGCCCAATGTCTGGGACTCAAGTCTTCCTACCATCAACAAGCCCCAACCCTTTTCGAGGACCCAGGAGTCTGGCTACCTCAGTCTCCCGTTCTTACCCCCGTCCTGCAGGGGCTGCGGCTTCTCTTCTTAAGGGGGCGGGGTCTCTCTCCCCTCTTGGCTTCGGGCTCCTTTATCTGGCCGGGATGTCGGGGGCGGGGTGGAGGTGGGGTGAACGCCTGGGTCTGTATCCTTCCTTCCTCCCTCGCTCTCCAGATGGCGAGCCCAGGGCGGGGTCCCGGTCTCGAGGGCGGGACCTCAGAAACGCGGGGTGGTCGTAACGTACGGGGTCTTGTGTCACTGAAAGTGGAAACAGGGATGGGGACCTTGGAATTGGGGAGGAGGTTACAAGGTTGGAAATACGGGCAGCCTGAATCGTCGGAGGGCCTGGGCCAGCGAAAATTGGTGTGTTTGCTTTTGGAAGGGGGTGCCCGGAGCCTGTTGCAGGAGAAAGTGAATATATCAAAACTCCCCCATCTAATGTACTGTGTTAAGGGAGAAAAGGGGGAGTCCAAGGAGGCACCAGGTTTGGGGAGGCGTAGTAGGCTCCTGTGGGATCTCAGACAGCGGGAGCATGTGGTGTGAATGACAGGCTCCTCCAGCGGGGCCTACAAAAAAGGGGCGGGGGTGCTATGACCGGGCGGGGTAGGGAGAGGGAGGATATGATTTCTAGTTCGTTTCCTTTCATTGTCCTGCGACCGGACGGCTACGCCAGCTGCTTCCCCTCGAGGAGGTGGGGAAAGCCCCGAGGTGGGGGAGGCGAGAGACGCTCAGGAGACCTAGGCGTCCAGCCTCTCGCTCCTAACTCTCTTTTGAATCCTTTTAGGGATCCAGAAAGACGGACTCCCGCCCCAAGCCCGCTCGCTCTCCCCCAATCCCAGCTCACTGGGCACCCGCCCGTCGGCTACGCTTTGAGGCTGGCGGGACGCCGGGGTCCAGCGCGGCAAGTAGGCAAAGCTCGGCAATGCGCGGCTCCCTCCACGAGGGGGCGGGCGAGCGCTAGCCTCGCCTCGCCCGGTCGTCTCCACCCTGCTGGGGGTGCCCTCAGACCCCGGCGCAGGATGGATTCGGTCCGCGCGGTTGAAACCTTCGGCCTCCTCCCCTTCGCGCTAGTTTATTTTGCACCTCTATCTTCTAGGAGGGAACTAGGGTTGGGCGGAGGGGACCGAGGGGACATTCCCCTCAGGCTGGGGTTCCTATCTGAGGTGAGAAGTCCACCGGCTTTGGGAGCGAGGGGAGTGGGTGGGACAAGAAGCGGGGCCTGAGCCTGGGAGCACAGGGTTTTCTTTTCTAATCAAGGTAGAAACTACTATCCAGATGTCTTTGGAGGTGAATTTTTACTGAACATGAATGTGAAAATTGGGTGGAGTAAACAGCAAGGAAAACAGAGGAGGTGTCAGGAAAGGCCTGACAACACTAATTTTAAGTTCCCAATCTGAGAGATAGGCGTGGGTCACACCCTCATATTTTGTTTGGGGAGACTTTGGGGGGAGGCAAAGCTCATCTGGAGAAGGGGGGCTGGAGCTGACTCCAGCTGCAAAGCAGGAGTTCCTAGGATTTGGGCCCAGGAGAGTATACAGTGGACCAGGAATGACTGACCATTGTCCACGGAGCTGGATATGCAGGCCTGAGCCCTCCCTGCATCTCTTTATTTGAGTCCATGCAAGAGCAGCTGAGAAACTGGGAATTGGAGACGACCCAGTCAGTATTCAAGGTGGTGAAGTGGCTTTGAGATATGACGGTTACTTTGGTCTCTGCCCAGTTTGGAGGTAGGAACTAGACTAGGATTTCCCTTTGGTATCAGGATGGAGTGTTAGCTGGTCAGTTGCCAGGTGCCTGTTTATTATGGGATTTATTATGGGGTTGATTCCATTGTTAGGGGCATTGGGGGCTGCATTCAGCCTTGAGGGCCTTTGGTGAGGCACAGGGCTGATTTTGAAGCTACATTAGTTCTGGAGGTTCTGATGCCCACAATTTGGAGATTGTGCTCATCTCTGTCATCTTGGACTATCAGGAGAGCCAAAGTACTCATGCTGGTTTTGGGGTGCAGTCTGTTTTGGGGTACCCTATAAGTTTCAAGGCTCAGATTAGATTTTGGGGAACATGAAATTCAGTTTGGAGTTTTAAATTAGTTTGAGGTGGAACATAGTAGGAAGCCGGGAGCAAGCTTGACAGCTTTCTGTGATGGGGGGGGGGGTCCCAGGAGGCAGAAGCAAAGTTTTATATTTGAATCTTGTGGAAACTCACTTTGATGAGAGGATATTCCTGTGTATGCATGGCTAGCCAAGTAGTTTTTTCCAGGGGAAAAAACAAGGTGAAGGCCCCCAGGGTAGGAGACTAAAATTTTGGGGTGTCCTTATTTTGGGGGTGTTTTGTCACTCTTTGGGTACTTTTGGTGAAGCTGAGGGATGGATCATAAGGTGAGAATGATTTGGAACTTCACTTAATTTAGAGCACAATTCTGGTTTGGGATGTCTTTTGCTTATATCTCCCTCTCACCCCAGATTCTAGGAATTTCTTTCTTCAGTGAACCCCCAAATAAGCCCAGGACTTAAAGGGAGAAACCTGGAAGGGGTGGTATCTCCTCTTATTACTATGTGGCTTGGATAGATCTGAGGGAGAAAAGGCAGTTTCAGACTCTGAACCCCAATTTCTTAAGGGAGCACAGCTCAGTTTGGGGGAAGGAGGAAAATGGGGTGTCTCTTGGCAAAGTGGACACCCCTGACCAGGGCAGTGATGCTGGAACTGTGTGGCAAGGAGGGGTGGCAGTGGGGTACAAGGAGGTGATCCCTGTACCCTGATTTTCTAGGACAAGAGCCCCAAACAGAAAGCAGAGGACTGGGAGTGTGGGTGAGATGAGGGGGGAGGGGTTCCCAACGGCAGCAGGGGCTAGAGGGTAAGCCAGGCCAGCTCTTCACGCCTGGGTCCCTGCTCTCTTCGGCTCTCCTCCCCTCTCTCCCTCCCACCGCCCACCCCCCCAACCCAAGGAAAAAAAACTGCCTGTGCAACAGCAATGGCAGATTCCAATCCTCCAGGCTTTCCTAAACCACCACCGAGACCAGCCGGGGGGGAGGGGAAGGGAGGATCGGGCTTTCCTGCTTCCTTAAGACAGGGGCAATGAGCTTGACCTCCTGGCCCCTAGCCCTCTGAGGAGTGCCCCCCTGTCTGGAAGCCAGGTGTCCTGGACCCTAGCCCCCGAGCGGGGGGGCCTGGAGAGACGGGGAGGAGGAAGGAGGGAGTGACTTCCAAAATTGGCATCCGGACAGAGCAGGGCTGGCGGGAGGCAGGCAAAAGACGGAATTTTCCTGAAAAAACGGGGGTATCTGAGGACCCCAAATTTGGGGAGCTAGTCCAGGACCGTCCTCCCAACACCCTAGATTTTTTTGGGATTTTTTGGGGACCCTGGGACCCCTCTAGATGGGGTGAGGAATGTAGTGTTGGGGGAATCTGACTGGGGCATTGCAGCTGCCTCTCCCGCCGAGTTGGAGACGGATGGGCTGGGACGGGTTTTGGGGGGGTGTCCCCAATTCTGACTGGGAGTGGAGGAACCCCCTCCTGAGCTCTCTTGTGGGGGTCCCTCCTCCCCAGGGCACTCCCCAGTCCCTGAGCCAGCCGAGAGGAAGGAGGCCAGCGATGCGACTGGGGCAGCTCCTTTCTCCTGCACCCCAAATGTGAGGGATGCACCCCATATTTTGCTCCTTTCAAAATAGGGGACCAGGATCTCAGGGGAGAGTAGCTGAGGTAAGTGGGGAGGAAAGTGTCCCCTGTTTTCAGGAGAGACGTGGCGGTTTGGGGGGAGGTTTGGAGGTGCGTGCTGGGGTGGGGTTGGGCTTTGTCAGTCTTGGAATTGGGGGGATGACTGGAGAGGCTTTCTCTTATACCCCTAAACTACAGCCCCCCAGATGGAAACCAAAGACTGAGACCAGAGAGCCCCCAACATCCCCAGCCGTTAGGATAGTGTTTGATTTCTCTTTCACCCCCACAAAGGCTCTGCCGAGGGTGGGAGCTGGGGGCAGCTGTTCTGGGGGCTAAGGAGGGTGAAGTGAGGAGCAGGAGGCCTTGGCAGGGTTTGGTGTAGGACAGATAGGGGTCTCGGAGGAAGGGGTCTGGCATCCTTGGGGGCCTAAAATGACTGCTTATATACACCACCTTAGATCATTTTGATTGCTAAGAGTTTTGGGGGGTGTGTCGGAAGGGGGAGCGGTAAAAGGTGGGATTGGATATAGGAGGATAACTTTTGGGTGTTAGAGGGTATTATTTTGATTTGCAGAAGGGATTTTGGCCCTTGGATTTTGCTTTCTGGGGGGTGCTGTTTAAACATCAAGTCCTGGACAGTAGAAAAAGGCTGAGTGAAGGCCTAGGGTGGGGGGTGGGGAGAGGCATATTTGTCTCAGCTTAAACGTGGCTCTCTGGGGTGGGCCCGCCTGGCTGGGCCTGGTGATGGGCTGATGGAGGTTGTTGTGAGGGTGGGGCTTGGGTCCTGAGGGCCTGTGGGCAGTGGGAACAGCACTGGGGGTTGAGTACTGGCCCCCAGGTCCAGATGGCCCTCTTCCTGGGCCCTGCTGCTCCCCTTTCTCCCTGGCCTCCATTTCCTGCCTTTGGCCTCCATCTTGTGGCAGGCCCAGGGCCCAGGGCGACTTCCGGCCCCCCTCTCCCAACCGTGTTCCGGCCCCACCACCTCTGGACTGCCAACTCCCAACCCTGCTGTCCTTGGCCCTCTGTCTCTCCTTGCTTTTCTCTTGGGTTCTGACCCAGGGAGGGGAGGAACGGACACAGGAAGCCTTGGGTCTCTGCCCTTGCTGAGTCGGGAGGCAGTTTGTTGGTCCCCTACAGTCACTCCCTATTTCTTCTGCCTGACCCCACCCTAGGGATCTCCTGAGCTGAGTTCCTACAGAGGGAAGATGGTCCAATCTTATTACACTGTGAGCTCATCCCCTTCCAGTTGCTGCTCCAGGACTGAGGTTCCTGGTTTTCCCCAACTGATTTGGGGGCCATGTTTGCCTTGTAAGCCTTCTCTATCTCCCTGCTCTTGGTGGTGGTGGTGGGATCTTCCCACCACTGTCTTGTGCTGTCTTCCTCTCAACCCAGCCCAGTCCTGCTCCCGCCCCAGCAGCACACTGTGGTTTGTACGGCACTGTGGCCACGTCCAAACCACACTGTGGTGTTAGAGCGAGGGTGGGGGAGGCACCGCTGAGGCTTGGCCCTGGGAGGCCATCCTGGAGAAGCAAAACAAAAAACACCTGGGGCCTTGTGACAAACTTCTTTCAAGTGGGGAAGAAGGGGGTGGGGTGTGAAAGCCCTGGAAACAAGCCCTCTAAAATCCTCAGGGTAGTCTCAGGAATACTGTCGGCCACAGACTTTGGGAGTAAGTTCTACCACCAGAGAGCAAAGTGGAGTCTTTGTTGCCCACACCCAGCTCCCCTGGCTCTAGCAGCACAGAAATATTGGCACCGGGAAGTGAATCTGCCAATATTGGCTGTGCTGCTCCAGGCAGGGTGGCGAGAGCTACTGAGGGCTGAGGAGAGAAGAGGGAACAGCCCTCTCCTCTTAATAATGTTTAGCAGACAGCACCAAGCTGAGAGGGAAATCTTTATTGTTTTCTGTATAAAAATGTCCATCAGATGAAGGGCAAAGGGGTTGGGGGCAGACGCTTATACAGGAACAGCAAAGTGGACAGCCCCAGCAGCTTTTTGGCCCTCTCTTGTGCAGGCCTTGCTCAGAGTCCCAGGCAATCCACAGGTCCAGGGTGAACAGTGAAAGAGGTCAGAGGTGGCAGGCTCAGCAGGAGAGTAGAGGAGGATCAGCAGAGGTCATGAGAAGGCCAGAATCCAGGGTCAGGCTGTCTGGAACAGGAAGTAAAATGGGCCGAGATGGAGGGAGCCCCAAGCATGCTTCCAAGACAACACCCGCCTCCCCAAAGCACTCTGCTGCTTACTAACCCAATCTCCTGCACTGTGTATGAGAGCACCTTCTCTTCCAAAGCCCCTGTATAGGGAAGGGACTCCTGCTGAGACCCTCCCCTACCATCAAGGTGAGCGCTTCCTCCCCAACCCCTTTGGCTGGGAGGCCTTGCTCAGAGTCCCAGGCAATCCTGGTGTAGGAGGAGGAGGACTCCTACCCTGGTCGAAGTTGAGTTTCTTGGCTGGAGGAGTTTCTCCCAGCCCTTCAATATCCACCAGGTCACTGTTGGCGTCAGAGTCGTTGAGAGCACTGAGTGTCACATCTGGGAGGAGGGCATAAGCTAGATTCTAGGTTCCCCTGACTGCCCCCACCCCCAGCTTCCCAAAGCTTCATCTCCCCCCACCCCTCTGCCCCTCTCTGGGAACCTCCACAGGGACAGGAAGAGAGATTTGTCCTTATTTGACCCAGGCCCAATTCTCTCACTGAACCTCTGATGGGACCTTTAAGCCTTAGGCAGCAACTCCACAGCCCTCACCAGCCTTCTGTTTCTTTATGGGGGGACCCGCGGCCTCAGGGACACTGGAGCTGCTGGGTGGAGGGGCAGCTGGAGGAGGTGACAAGACACCAGATGCCACCTTCTTGGGCCCTTTCTTGGGTGACTCAGCTGGAAGGGGGATGCCAGAGTCTTCATATACCTTGCGTTTCACAGTGGCCTTTATCTGAGCCCTGAAGAGAAGAGAGAGCAGGTTAGGAATTAGTCATGAGAGAAGCTGAGGGAAGAAGGGAGGGGATGGGAAGGGGTAACTCTGAAGGAATTCTGGGAGCCCCTTCCTACGAATCCAGGTCAGGGCCCCAACCCACTGGGGTTCTCATTTTCCTGAAGCTCTGCAGTCACTCACGGTGGATGGAGTGTGAAGAGTGGAGTCCCTTGAACTGAGCAGTAGGAAAGGCCTGTCCTCTAATTCTCTTCTCAGAAAGATATATGGATGTTGCAGGCCACCAGGTAGGGCTCGGTGATTTACAGGTAGATTGGGACTGATTAGTAGATCCTGATCAACTAGTTCTGAATCACAATATCCCCAGGAATACTGCAGTAAGGTCTCGAAAGATCTATATAAGTAATAAGGGAACTCCCATCATCAAATACAATAATTGAGTATCTCAGGCAACCAAAAATCAAATTCTTGTAAGGTCCTGATTACCTCAGCATTTTAGGAACTCCTGACCAGTTGTGACAATTCTACTCTTTCAGTTCTCAAGGGATTCTAACAAAACTAGCAACAAAGTAAGAAAGATGAGTTGGAAAGGAGTTCTGAGGAAGACAACAATGGGTAAGGAGGAAGAAAGCTGCCCACCCCCCTTTCTCTGCCAGCCACCCTCCCTCACACTGTCCGTTCCTTGATGACACAGCTGATGTGATTAAGATCGTCCCCAAATCGCTTCACAGCAGCCCTCAGCATCTCTATCTCCGTCTCCGTCCACTTCGCACTGTCGGAAGGGGAGAGGGGGGATAGCAAAAATGGGAGGAGGAGGGGTGTGGAGCCAGCCCGCAGGCAATGCCTTCCACAGCCTACCAGCCTCCTCCTCCCAATCTCTGGGGCCCCTTCCACGGATGCATAAAGAGATCCTCCTTAAAAAAAAGCTCTTCAGGCCCTGCGGGAACCCTGAGGATCCCCAACCATATGAAATCACAGCATCCTCTATTTGAGAACACCCCTCTCCTCCATCAACGTGAAGTTGCTGCTGTAAACAGCACACGATTCAACAAGTAGGGGCCTGACAAACAGAACCCCTCAACACTTCACACAGTCCGCGGGAATTCCGTATGAGCCGGGCCGAGTTGTAGTGGTGGTGGTTTGTGGTTTGCCGGTTCGCAGCAGTACAACTGTGAACTATGAGTCCAGGTTATGGGCCTCAGTATGTATTTTTATGTCATTCATTCCTTCATTCAACAATCATTTATTAACACCTACTCTGCGCTGTGCCAGGCACAAAGAGAAACTACATCTGTCCCTGTCTTAGAGAGGGTCCGTGTCTGTAACTGAGTCGACGCTTTCGCTCTCAGTGTCCACGTCCCCGTCCGGGCTCACGTACCCAGCAGGGGAAGAGTCGGCCACAGGATGCAGCTGCATCGTCAGCTCCCCGAGCTTGGTGAAGGCTGCGCCTGCCGCGGAGAAGATCTCTCCGACCTGGGGGCGGGGCAGCGTTACGGGGGGCAGGCGCACACCCCCAGCGCCGTCCCGCCCGGAGCCCCTAGCCCCACCCCAGGCTCGGCTCCCGCCCGTCCCCCACCCCGGGCGGAAGAGTCCAGAGCCAAGTGGGGGGACCCGCCCTCCCGTGGCCGCCAGGGAGCGCTGTCCGCGAGGGAGGTCGAACCTTTGTGGACGCTGACGTCATGGCCCCGCGCGCCTCCTCACGGAGACGGAGACGCCGCCGCTGCCGCCACCACCACCACCACGCGAGCCGGGACCACGGAGAGCCCGGCGACTGAAAAGCTCCGGCCCCCCGCCCAGGAAGTCCCTCCTTCCCCGCAGCTGATTGGCTCAAGCCCGGCCGCTCCCCGCCTCATCAATCGCGGTTGTAGACCGCCTTGGCGCTCCAAGGGAAGGAGAGGTGGAAGCCGCCGCCTCACTTCCGGCCGGCTTCACTGCACTTCCGTCCAGGGGTTTGGACTCCCGTTGAGGTAGCCCTCCAGCCGCAGCCCCGTGCTCGCCCCCTCACCCAAGCACAGACCAAGCTTACGAGAGCAGATTCTCTTTATTGTGGTACAAGACAAAGCGAGGGAACTGGAGAGACAGTGAATGGCCAGCCCCAGCCCCCTCCACTGGGCCCGAGGGGGAACAAGGGATTCAGTCTCTCGCCAGGAAAACCCAGTCCCTCAGAGGGCGCTAGAATGGGTGGGACGCGGCCCAGGTGAGGGGGTGGAAGGAGTCTTTAAATAGAAGAGGGGGCTGGAGAGGGGAAATGGGACCGTGCTCTAGCGCACCATGTATTCCTTTCGCTTATTGAGCCGAACTTGGCAGAAAGAGAAGCCTCCAAGGAGGAGGTAAAGGCCCGCGGCGATGAAACAGTTGTAGCTGACTTGCTCGTAAAGGTTGTATATGTTCTGGGGGCCGTTCCTGGAGGTGGGGATTAGACAGAGAAGTGTCAGACATTAATAGCAGCCAATGTTTAGCTCTGACCTTGTGCCATACACACCGTTCTAGTCGTTTTTAGGTGTATTATTCAATCTTCTTGACTACCCTATATGATGAGTTCTACTATAATATCCATTTCGCAGAGGTGGACTGAGGTACAGAGAAGTAAAATACCTAAAGAGGCCACACCTAAAGTGGTAGGTTTAGGATGGCTGCCGAGTTCCCAAGACTGGTTCCCAGGAGTCTGGTTCCCAAGACTGCTACTAACTACATCGTGAAGAAAGCAGTTCTCCTCTGTCAGTTCCCTAACCTCGGTGCCCCAAGCACCCAGCCTCCCGGACACAAGTCTGCCCCCAGCCCCGCCTCCCCCACCTGACAACTTACTCAAAATCTTTCTCCGTGAAGGGAACATCCTCAATTAATACAGCGGAATGGACGTTGAAAAATATTCCGAGCATTATCTGAAAAATGGGAATGGCTAGGTTGTTGAACTCAGGCACCTGACCTCCTGGTCACGCTCTAAACTCCTCCCATTTCTAATGTTGCCACAACACCTGGGCCTGGGATTAACCAGAACAAGGTAGGATTAGGGGTGGTTGTTGCTGGATTCGGTCTCGGCCACCTGGAATAGGGATTGACGTGGTGACATTGAGAATGGCTCGGGCAATGGCAAGAATAGTGAGCAACCCGTCTTTCCCAGAAACCCAAGTTATCTTCCCTCCAGAGGCGTCATTATCACGGGACAGTGCGGAAGAGGTGAGGAACAACCGGCACTTCTTCATACTATTTCTTCTTGAAGTGGGGGTAGGATAAATTCCTGGACAAACAAGGCCCAGCCATCCATTTAGGTGACAAGCACTCCCTTTCTCCCCATGTCCTCCATTCAACTCAAGCATCTCTCAGAAACCCAGCTCTTCTTTTTCTTACCTTCAGGGGTTTCCAAACTTACCAGCCTCAGCTCCTCCCATTCCAGACTTCACCCCCCCACCCCGCTCCAGTTCCCATTTTTCAATCTCAGTTCTGTCTTGTTCTCCAGCGGCCAGCAGATCAACCAGCTCCAGCCTGCCTGCTGCCTTCTAAGGCCCGGCGTTTCCTAGCCTTCCAACCCTCTAACCCCGGAGCCCCTCAGGTCCTCTCCGATTCTCGCCGGGGGGGGCCCCTCACCAACATGATCACTCCCCAGGCGCTGAGCACTATGCCGCAGGCGGCCAGCTTCGGCCCACAGCACAGGAGCGACGCCATGTAGAAGGGAGTCCGGAGATCGTCTAGGGGTGAGCCGGGTGGAAAGGCGGTGAGAAGAAGCCCTGGATGCGTTCGGAGGGCTGCGGAGAGGGAGTGGTCTCCGGCCCCAACCATCATGCCGGGGGTGGGGGCGGGGCGGCGGCGGGGAGCGCCAGGCACCTCGGAGTCCTCTCGAGACTTTTGCGGAGAAGGCAGTGTCTTGAATCCAAGGAGCTGTTCGAAAGCCCTTATCGATTTATGTAGCCGGGGCGTGAGTATTGGAAGAGGGCCTCCAGTTTCTTGGTTTTTCCCCCGACTCCAAGTTGAAATGGAAGGAGCTGGTGTATCACGTGACCAAGTTTGGCAAGTCACGTGACGAGGAACTCGCTGTAACCAGGCCTGGGGGAAAAGTATGTAACTCTTGCGGAGCCCCTGATAACTTGGAAGTGGGGCTCTTAGGATCACAGAAAGGATTGGAACCATCTGGTTTCCCCCTCAGATACTTAGTCTCGGGTGGTATCCTGTGATGGGGAAATGGTAAGTGAGACAAAAGTTTATACATAGAGAGCGCGCTTCTGTCTGTTCTCTACTTACTCTTTCCTTTTAAAACAGATGTTCTGACACAGTAGAAACGAGGTAGGAGCTCCTTCCCGAGGCCAAGCATGCTGCTGCGACTAGAACGCTTTAAAACTGCGGAGGGTTCCTTGGCTTTGTAAATACTTAAGTAACATTTTATCATCACGTGTATTGGAATACTGTATAATTGTAGATGCCAAATCCAGGAACAATATGAAGTTAGGAAAAGTCCAGGGAAAGCTGACTCGATGAGCCAGTTGTGAAAGCGAATAGTTCTGTTAAATATACCGGAGAAAGGAATAAGTTCACCAAAATGTCACTTTGCTTCCCTGCTGCAAACCGAGAAAACTGATTATATAAGTCCTTTGAATAAGGTGGGATACAAAATTTAAAAATATGAATAGATCATCCCCTCCCAAAAAAAGTTCTCATACTTCACTGGTGAGAGGCAGATTTGTAATAATTATTTGGGGAAATAAGGATGTTTGAAGAACACAATTTTGCACGGAGCAAGTTGTACCCATTTTAGTGAGAACAGTGACCTCAGCATAATTGAGAGGAATCATTTTGACCCTGAGACCCCAGAACCAAACAAGGACTCATGGTCGTTGGCTAGAATAACTTTGGGGTATTTTTTCCACTTACTTTATGCAAATTGTTCTTAAAGGGTTATGAAAGAGAATTTGGAACCTGGGAAACATGTAGAAATCCCAGAGTATTAAAGGGGCTGGGAAAGTGGCCTTGAAACATGAATTTCATATCTTTTTTGTTTGCGACTGTCTGGAGAAGAAAGCCATTTTGGGGCAAAGGTTTTTATTCTGCCCTAGAAACACCATTCTTATTCAGGGACTTTTGGGGTACATGTGTGAATAGGTAGAGGGAAAATTACTAAGGAAAAGAGTCAGAAATTTCTAACTTGGCCACCAAGCATGAAGTTTAGTTCGTGGGAACAGAGAATTAGCTGAAATCTCCCTCCCCCACTCATGATCTTGGATGTTTTGGAAGTAGGGGCAGGGCCTCAGGCTAGAAGGCCAAATTCAGCCTGTAGCCTGTGCATGTCCCTCAGAGCACTTTTTCATTTTTAAATGGTTGAATAAACTAAAAGAACATTTTGTGACATGTGAAGCTCATATCTCAGTGTCTATAGATAAAACTTTATTGGAACACAGTTGCACTCATTTGTTTACATGTTGCCTATGGCTGCCTTCATGCTACCACGGGACAGGTGAGTAGTTGTGACAGAGACTGTGGCCTGTGAAGCCTAAAATATTAATATTATCTGACCTTTGCAGAAAAAGTTTACTGCCTCCTAGGCTAGTGGGATACTGATGGGGGAGGAAATAGAGCCTTAGCAGAGAGACTTAGGAAAGCATGAAATCCAAGATGGAAATGTCAGTCCTAAAGCTGATGTGAAGTCTTCCAGGTGGGGGCACCTTAGGGCTCAGATAGTGATACTGTTCTCTATGCGGCTGGGCTTCAGGTATTCATAAGGCAGGTCAAGTTGCTCATTCCGGGCTTTAATCTCTTTTTCCAGGTTTTCCAAATCTGTTTGGAATTGCTTTAGCACAGCTTTGGCCTTGGGGCCTGAAAAATATTTTTCTTTGTGATGCCCCAGAGGTACCTGAGACAGAACAAAGGCTCAGTCAGTTTCTAGTCTGAAGACAGAAGCACCTAAAGCCCAGCACCTCACTCTGATGTTTCCTTTCCAACTGTTATTTCCCTTTCCCTAGAATCCCCTCTTACCATGTCTGGCTGGCGGCGACCCAGGTGCCATGTGATGGTCATTTGAAGACAGGCCTGCCGGACATTGGGTAGTGACCCCATCACTGTGGCCATTGTCACATCTTCCTTGGTGGTGGGTGGGGGCATCCGCATTGTGCATGGGGCATTAGGGACCCAGGCATACCAGTCCAGCTAGGGGAAGAAACTGCAACCCTAGGACCCTGGTACTTAAGGTTTCAACTCCCATCTCTCCCTCAGTTCTGCCAAGGTCCAGACACTTGCCCTCAGGAACCTGGGCTTTCAGCTGTCCATACCTGGCCCTGGTTGATGGCCCCATGCTGGGCAGTGCATGTGAAGACACACATGGTAAGGAAATGGCAGAGTTGAGCCTGGGACTGGAAGGAGACAGGGAAACCTAGGTGGGAAAGGAACAGGATTTAGAGGCTGTAGCATATGAGGAGAGAAATAAAGGCTGATATCTTGGATGTCCATATTTTAGAATTGATAAGTGTTCATTTATTTAGATATATTTGCATCAGACATGGGTTTCAATCCTGCTCAGTCACTACAGCTTGGTTAACTTAAGCTAATTAACCTCTCTGAACCTCAGTTTTTTCATCTGTAAAATGTAGATGATACCTACATTATAAATGAGATAATGTATCAAAATCAGCTGGTATGCAATAAGTGCTCAATTAGTTGTTATGGAAGGCTTCGGGGCTGAAAAGTTCTGAGTGATCAAATAGCCTCTGCCTCAAAAAGTAGTTAATAATTTAGGGATGCTTCCCCCTATTCTCAGACAGGCAATTATAAATCTCTGTGTTATATGAGGAATAAGAGAAGTTATGGATTTCTGTGTCACAGCAAAGAGGAGCTTCCCACAAGGGTTAT